GAGTTTTAAGGATAACAAAACCAGACCCTAAAAGATGGACTCCAAGGCTAAAGAAACCAGAACAACAACAAAAGGGGGAAATAAAGCATGCCAGTGTCATTTCTGTCTGCATCAAGAACCATAAGAGAAGCTTATATTTAAATGCGAGTTGGTAAGCTTGAACTACCAGAGTTACTTTATTTGGGATACATTTTGTAGTTAAAAGCCTCAACAATTTTCAGCTGTTCTGGAAGCCCAAACAGCTTCACTGAAATCACTCGTCCAAGACTCTGTTCCATTCCAGTAGAAGTACTGAATGTTACATTTCAAGGTTCTGGAGCTGACGCTCAGGAAGCTCACGAGTATCATAGCTGGCAGTTACTTCACAACCTTCAGAAGGTGCTGACATTATTACGGAAGGAATTAATATTGTTATATACTTATCTATATATGCACATGTGAATACATAAACACACATATGCACATTTCCAAAATAATATTATACCTTGCATCACAAAAAACTGTCCACATAGATATTAAAGGACACCCTCCTACTGCAATTTGAAGTAGCATCTAGTACTAAGAGCACCATCATTAATGCAAGGTACACAAAACTTTCTTAAAGCCCAGGAATCATCACAGTAACTCTACCCTGGTCACCTTCATTAATGTATTGCCTTAATCAAAATGCATGAGCCACATTTAGGCTCCAGCACACCACTGATAAGAGCCCTCAAATATCAAATTAGAAACCAGAGCTAGTGCAGATCATAAAGTTCACTTAAGGACTCTTAAGCCCCTTCTCATCTTACATCTGATAATCTGGGTAAAACAGCCTTGGTCCACCAAGGCCAATACATGACAGGATCTAGCTATCAGACAGCTTATTCCCTGTGATTCATAGCGCCTGTGGTTACCTGAAGCCTCTGAGACAACAGTTGCTACATTTGTAATGCTAAGAAGTTAGCAAAGAGGCTCTGCACTATCCAACTTGTACCTTGACTTGCCACAAAAGAACTTACATTTGCTGGTCTTCTAGATGGATTCCTAGGACCTAACCAGTGTGTTCCTTGGTCTAACTGGTGGCCTTGTTTCTCAAACCCTAAGCCATGATATTACGTGCGTTCAGTTACGTACACATTGTGTTTAGCAGCTGCTCTGACAAGACTGTTTGACTTACTGGAAAGAGACCCTAAAGACCTGTTTCCAGGTAAAATTAAAGGAGTTAGAACTGTAATCCATAGAACTACATACTGTCCAGAGTACAGCGGAGTCCTACACATACAGAGTAAAGCTAAAGCAAGAGTCTCGCACTCACATATGCACATCACATTTAGAAATGCTAGGTTGTATTTCAGACTTGGGTATTCAAAAGCAAGCTTAATTAGTCTCAATACTTGCCTCGGGATCCTGCCATGAATCCAAGTATAAGAGCCTTTTCTGGCCTTGTAACTTTGTTTGCAGTCTTGAACATTTCCTGTGCAGCATACATTTGCTCCCTCTGCAACAGATACAACAGTTATGAACTCCAGTGGAGAAAACACTGCTAACAGTTACCATATTAACACCCACAGACAAGCATAACAGCAAGATGGAATTCTGTAGACCTACAAAAAGTAAACAACAGAAGTGCCTTAACCTCAAGGCTTTCCCTCTTTAGTGCTTATACCTAACACTTGCAGCAGTGACAAATGAATTCTGAAACTAAAATAAAACCCCACCCTTTAAACGGTTACAGAAACACGTGCTAAGAGACTTAATGTTTACATTATCGATTTTGTGTTCTATATGACATTAGAGGAAAAAAACCCCACCAAAACCAAAACCACCCAGCGGTTCCTCTGCAGTCCAAACCCAAGCTGGCAATTTTTTCTTTAATAAATGAAGCAGAGGTACTGAAAAAGCCACCCAGTTTCTTAAAGTTCAGCTCTTTCAAGCCAGGCTTACAGATGTGCTTAGCAAAGTCTTCAAATCAGTTGCATCTTGAATTAGTTACCTGCTTAACTTCAAGCATGCACATTATATATACTAACAGACCAGCAATAAGAAGCTTCAGGACGTAATTAATTGCTGTTTAATTTAGTTTCCTCCCCACTCTCAGGCTTTAAAAGATGTGTAATGGGGGGGTGTGAGAGAATCAAGAAATAAAAGCTTTTGCCTTAGAATAATTTATTGGTATCTTCTCTCCTACCACTGCAATGACAGGATCCTTTTTGCCAGCTTACATTATACGCAATTGGCCAGGCAACAGCTCTGATGGAAATACACCTTCCAAAATTCTTTATAACAAGTAATACAACACTATTTTACATAATAAATAGAAGTAAATAAAGAAATCTTACTGTAACATTACCACTGCACAACTACAAGTGTTGTCATTGATGTTTTTAAGAAAGCAATGCTAACAAAGCTGCAAACATTTAGTTAGTTTTGGTTATAAAAAAAGCAGCCTCGACCACTCCATGATCCAAAAGCCAGGAACTGCCAACATACCAAACGAGTAATAATAAAAATTTGCATTTTCCAATCTACATCAACAGCAGCAGTCAAAAAGAACCTGATTTTACTTACTGTGAGAGAGAGGCTTTTTTTCGGTGGTGGCTGTTGCTGAGTTTGGGGGGCCACTTGTGGTGCTTGTGCCGCAGGGGAAATGGCAGGAGGTGTGGTAGGTGTCAGGGGTGAGGTAGGTGTAGCTGCAGGCGGATTAGAATTACTATTGTACATGGGTGTTCTTTGTTTGAACTGTGCAGGAAGAGTTGTGGTAGCATTTGGAGCTGCAGGCTCTTCAGTCTGTCTGTTAGTCTGCAAGGCCTCTCGCGCAGAGCCAGCTGCAAAAACCAATCAGGGTAATTAAAACATTATAATCCACAAACAGGGATTAGCATCACCAATGGCTTTTAAAGAAAACTAAAAATTCTGATTATTCTATTTTAGCACCATGATTCAATATGCCACCTAATATCTACATGAAAAATTGAAGAGCTAATGCGCTTTCCACTCGATTATCTTTAGCAATAATTAGACAACTGAGTGACTAGCTGTCCAATATGGATTACACTACATTTAGCATCAAATTTTGCTTAATGGGTATCAGATTTATTAAATTGAAACCTCTTTATTTACTTTCTGGCTTATATTGCTGTAACAACTGTACTCTGACCCTACCAGGATTATTGTTCTACTGTTATGTAGAAGCCAAAACCATGAAAATACCTCCTCAGTTTCTATGTAACAGCAGCTTCCAGAGGAAATGGTAATTAAGTCTCAGCCAGTAACAAATACTTAAACAGGTGACAGAATTAAATGCAGTCTTCACAATTCACGCATTATTTAAATGCTAACTGCTAGAAGGGTTAAAACACCACAGTATTGACAAGTCCTACGTTATTTCTGTTATTTCTCAGAGTTCACCTGCACTTAAGGGAGTTACTATTCCAAACCTGGCTGCAGGTGGAGGTTATATATATGATCAAGTTACTGTGATTTCCTAAGTTACCATCTGTCCAGCAAGCAGCAGTTACCCAGTGCACGATCCAGCCAGTTACATTCTTTTGCAGCTCTTGGATACAGGCACAGCTGTTTAAGCACCTTTCACAAACCTCATGAGGTTTAAGCTAACCTATTCACACTGTGTTCACAGTAGACTAAAAGGCAGATACAGACCAGAGCTATGCTGATGCCTTTCAGATCAGATTTCAGAGAATGAGAGGTCTGTCACTCTCCATCCAGGCGCAGACACAGCTTGGTTTTAACAATATAGCTATTATCCAGTAAGATGTGGAACAGGACAGTGAACGCTTGAGAGGACAAACATTTGCAACAATTAGTTACCCCTTAATCTTGTACAAATCTCTTAAGTTTTATTACTGACTTCCTCTCATGTCAGAGCAACTGACTTGCATAAAGTAACATGTTAATTTTGCAACTTCAGATTATATGAGATCAAATCTGTGGATCTTGTGTGCATTTTATATCAAGGAAACAGTTTGATGTTCCTTGTCCCTAAGAAAAGCTAGATATCCCGCACTCCAGAAGGCAAAAATAAGTTAGAAAAAAAAAAAAACAGAGAACAAAGACAATAGAAAATTTTAAACTAGGCTTTTCCTGCTGTTGAATACAATGCTAAGGCTCTGGAAAATAATACTAACTGCTGACAACACTGATGCACTCTTGGCTGCGTTCTTTCTCGAGATGCCAATTTTCTGCCAGAGAAAGATTTGCATGGGTCTTCAGAGAGATTCTGAACTGTTTCAGGGCCAAGTGAAGTGATCATGTTCTGCATATGCATTTTTCTATAATGACCAACATGCCACAGCTCACATACTTAAAGACAAGCATTACAGTACCAAATCGAAACAACCAAGAGTAAAATAATGCATTAAACTGAAACACTGGTTCTGTTAACTGCAAGGTTTGGTAATGAATCCCAGTCATGCACATCTGTTAGTGCAAACTGATACATTCCGTTAAAACTTCACATGTGGCAGAAAAGGAAAAGTAAAACCAAGTGTGTTAAAATAAAAGGTGTAGAAATACAGGATTTGTATGAATACTATTTTTTACTATAGATAATGTCCAGAATTGAAAATTATGTCGCATTTTTCAAAATATGCAGGAGCTCAGCTGCTATGCATTAGACTTCTATAAAAAGGTAAAAGGAAAATGGATGGCTTGATCCCATCCTGTGTGAAAGCTAATACATACTTGCCTCTAGAAATGTATCTGACTCTTGAAAGCAACCGTTTTGTAAGTGGATGTATGTATAGAGTATATACTCCAGACTTATGTGTATTACTGGTGTCTCTTTAGGGATGAAAAAAAATTATGGATTTTCTATTATAGAGTAAGAGGAAAAAATCCAAACGCTAAATCGCTTTGCTTGCTTGCCTTAACTAGCAGTCATTTTAAGACTCAAGAACAACAAGCATTTTCTTTATTTAGTTTAAATGACATGTCTGGTTACCCAAAACCCAAAGGCTGGGTTCCTGCAACAGATTTTTAAACTGCTAAGGTTAAGTTTCACTGAACTTGAGAGATTGTAGGTTTGTAAATAAGCGAAGAGTTAGACAGAAAAACTGTATAGCGTTGGAGGTATTTAGAATTGGAGGTATTGGGTCCCAAAAGCAAAAAAGCATCTTTTACCTGGCTGTGTTTCAGAGCTTGGGATATATGAGGAAGACGGCACCACACTGGGGGTAGCAGGTAAGTAACTTGTAGAAGGTAGTGCAGGCTCATTGTTCAATGAGCCAAGTTTCTGTAAAACAGAAAGTGTTATAACCATGTGGCATATACTCATGCACTATTTCTGCATTTTAAATACAGTTTCAACATTAGTTCTGCTATGATATTCCTTTTGGGAACTTAATTATGGACTCCTCTGTTAGGGCAAGTTTACCCTTTCAATCCTAACTCCCTATACAAACTTCAGACATTAGAAGTACCCTAGGAGAGAAAAAGCAGCTTTTATTTCCCCAAATTCAGATCGAAGTTGCTTCTGAAGGCACAGTCTGAGCCAGGAAAAAAATACCGTTATGGAGAATGTACTTCTGCAAAGAGTCAAGTTGCTGTTCCTGTGTCCCATTCCTCAGCTGATAGCGTGGAGACCAAATGATGAAATTTGCACAGATGGTACTCTGAAGAATTACACTATAGAAGTAAGTTCTGCCTAAGCAATCATGCTCTTCACTACTAGCAAGCAGAAACCTGTGTTCATTCACAGGCAAAAGGTCTACCAAAATATCACCCAGGAGAATGCAAAGGCCTCTGGGACACGAGCAAGCAGAAGGCAGCAGTAAGAGCACAGGTAAAACCCTGTTTCCACTGAAACAGGCAGTGGACACCAACACGACAGATGTCATCTAGGATCAAGCCAAAGAAAATGCCACATTTTGAGCTTAACTATACGTGATATTGCACACACAGCATAAAGAAAACAGCATGGTATCTCTATGAAGATCTTCACTTTCATCCAATCCAGTCTTACAAATGTAAGGGGTTGAAAGAAGAAAGTTTTTGGGGAATAAGTCTAGCAGACAAATCATTTAAGGCAGCCTTACTAGACAAAAGTAAGATGGATATTCTGTAGAATAGGGAGCTTGCCAAAAGAAGGTACTTCTAGCAGTCTGCAGAAAAACAAGCAATGACCTTCACTCCTGACACAGGCCTACCAACAGCTGCCTATATGTTGGTTTTGGCACGTGTGCCATAGGTTGCTACCCCCATAAGCATGGGACCAACATTGCATGTGCTTACCATTAGGCTCTAGATGAAGAAACATCTGGCTCACTAACCAAACCACAGATCTTTTAAAATAGAGTGCTCTCCAAAGGCAAGCATTGCATGTCAACACAGACTTAAACAGGCAGAGGTAATCATGACCACTTTAAATTTGGAATAAGAGAAGGCACTTAAGATTTGAGATAGATTGTCCCAAGTGGCTTGCAAACACTGGGTGCTGCAGCCTCAAATTATCTACCAGTATCTGAAGAACCCAGCTGTCGAAATTAATTCCAGGCCAATGCTTGCTGGAATAGAACAGTCAGTTTCTAACTCAGAAGTGGGGGGGAAGACCTAACATTCTTGTAAAAGCTACGTCCGGGCTGAGAAACATAAAGCTGCATCATGGTTTTTCCAGTGCGCTGTACCTGAAAGAATAAGGAAAAAAACCCTAAACACAGCTCCCCCACCTCCCACCCCTAACTGAACTGCCTCTAGCAAGAGGTTAGCTTTTTCAGTAGACCCTAAACAACTTTGGGCTGGTTTAAAAAGAAGAAAGAAAAAAAAAAAAAGAAAAAAACCCAACACACAAAAAAAACCCCAAAAAACTGTTAAGAGGAGGAGTGGCCACCTCTGAAATTTATGGGTTTTAAGAAGCACAAGTTTATAAGCCATAAGTAATTTGGACAGAGATCAATTCCACTGTATTGCTCCTTCCCTTTCAGTAGTAATAGGACTGGCTAAGCCTAGTAACCGACAGGTTTGGAGACCTCAGAAAAAGCCACGTTCTGGATTAAGCATCAATTCTCAAAGCTTACAAGCTAAAAATGGAGAAAAGAACCACAGAAGGGTAATAGTGAGCAGGTTCTTTTCTCAAGCCAGAAAACAGGAGAGCTGTAAAGCCTTGGCTGCTTATATTCAGCTAACCCTCCTGGCCAGCAACAAGTGCTCCTCACTTAAGACTTCTGTGGATACTATTCCATGAGGGTCACAAAGGATGCACAGGCAGAGTGAAACCTACAGGAACTCCTGAAAATGATTCTACCTCTCTAGGGCCAGAGAACCCTCCTATCCCTTTCATTTGACAGAAGACTACAATCCTCAGTTACAGAAATGCCATACCCCATCACAAAGTTAAAATAGCAACAAGAAAACAATCAAAAAATTTACCTTCATCCTGCTTTGAATTTTTTTATCTAGTTTAGTGAAAATATACTGGAATTTTGAAATAATTATGTAAAGATTTTTACATTAAGATGCACGTTTCCTCAAGTTAGTAGGATATCATTACAGTGTTTAAGTATTTTAGTATAATGTGCATCACAGTTTACTTCATTTTTGTCCTTGTTAGTTGGTTTTACCTGTGTAGACACAAGGCCAGCAGCATAATCTGGGGTAGCATTTTCTACTACTGTTTCTTCTTTGGCTTGCTTTTCCACAACTTCTGTATCTATTGCATAAAAATAGAAGTTAGTTCAAGGAAGTTCTCTGAAATACTGAATTAGATATACTTCTTCAAACAAAGACATAAAAATGCATTTCTCAAAGTCTGCTAAAATAGGCTTGAAAAGATATATGCTGAAAGGGTGGCAGGTACAGTAATCTTCATACACAATTTTATAATAAACCCAATTATGAACTAAACCACAATGTATTGCCATCAAGATATAGTAACTGAGTAATTAGGCAGAACTGGCTCACTTTGTGACATTAGAAAGCACCAAAACCCAAGCAAAAATTGAATTGCAATTATGATTTTTTTCTGAGATGGTAATTGTGGGCAAACATGCTACCCAATGTATCTTCCTAACATGACTAAGTAGAGCACCGCACTGTCAACTTAAGAGCAGTATATGAGGTATTATTCACCTGTTAAGATGTCTCGGCCAGAATTTTGGAGATTGCTATAAGTTTTTTCAACATTATTTTCAACTATTTTACTTGGCCGCATAGCCAGTGGAAATAAGCATACTAAAATATCTCAGAAGAATTCCAGTACTGAAGCTGCTCATGCCCCTAAGTGCTGCCCAAAGCACAACCAACTAGCTCAATCCTTTCATGCAGCTGAGTGAAGTTATTACCCAGGCACATGGCAATACGATCAGGAGAATTGGGAAGAAAAAAAAAAGTCAAAATACTCCCTTTTTGGTTGGGTTGGTTTTTTATCTTTTTTTCCCTTTTTTAAAGTTTACTGAAGAGAAGTTTTAACAAATGAAAAACAAAATGGTACTACAAATCTAGATCCTATTTGCAGGTACATTAATAGCCTCTGTAAGCAGCATGCTATACCAACCTAATGTCTTTCTTCTTCTCTTTGCTTCACGGCCAGCACCTACCATATCCAGCTCAGAGATATCTAGAAGCTAAAAAGAAAGACCACAGATAACTTAATAACTGTTGTTAAATTTATGTAATTGGTATCTAAATATTGCCCTTTGTTTTTTCTTTAATATATTAATACTTGATGCAAACCAGCATCAGAAATTCACTTTCCATCAGGGAGGAGAAGCAGGAAAGCAAGAGACTAAGAAAGAGTGCACCTACCTTTACTCCTCTTTCTTTGCGCAAAGGTGTTCTTGAAGGAGGAATAGGAGTTCTGTTTCCAGAAGGACTAAATACACTAGGTGCTGAAGTACTCCTGAACGGAGCTTGTTTTGGTATTCCTTTGAGCGGCGCTTAGGGAAGATCAAAAAGGCAACAATTGTAATATATGCTTAATTAGTTATGAAAACAATCATAAGGAGTTCTTTGGCTTTTCCCCTTCTTAACACCCCCCCCCCCCCCCCAACATTTTTATTATGGATATTCTCTCTCACACGCATGTCCCTCAAAGGTCAGATTAAGTTTTACCCTCCAAACAAGGAGTAACAGTCAACCTCTAGGCTAATGCTTGCAACCCCATTCTACAAGAAGTAATCAAACAGGTGCACTACCATCAAAATGTACTTTTCCTACAGACATTGATGCTTTCCTTACTTATAAGAAATAAAATTTTTGAACACATAAAAAGGTATTAGGCATGAATGTTCTGAATCCAATTATTGCCAAAGATGCTCTTTGAACTTTACGATCTAGTTACTTGGTAAAACTGTATTTAATCACAGATTCTTAGCCAGGTTTCTGCGGGGCTAAGGGCTCATAATCTACTGTAAAGGTAAATTACTGCTGCACACAAGGGTCTGAAATTTTGGAGCTGCTGTTTGCACAAGGAGGAGGATCCAACTTCGGTCTATATTGCAAGCAGGAAACCTGCTGTCTCAATACTCAGTAGAAACTGCTACACCCATAAGAAGCTGTTTTCCCCCATATTTACACTGTTACCCTTCTACCTCACATTTAATGTAAGCACTGAAGATGGCATCGTTTCAACTGCTAAAAATTTAGGGACACATACGTATCTATCAGATCTTTGAGCCTGCTGACAATGTCGTCATACCCTACAATTTGAAGATAAACACAGAATTTTAGTCTGAGGTTAGATACCCTGTATCCCTCTAGATGTTGTACTGAAAACCTTTTCACCATAGGACAATCCTCTGACCAATGTGAGTAAGTTGCAGCAGAGTAAACCCCAGCTGGTTCCATAACTCGTACTTCTAGAGACCACCTGGCTCTAAATGCCAATTCTAAAAACTAACTTTACTAGTTCAAAAGCTAAAAAGAATGCCAAGAAGAACTAACAGTCAATTTCTATACTGGGACAACTTTTAGTTCAAATTACAACTACACTTTCCGCATTTCCTGCATGAACATATGGCCAACTTTGGTGCTCAAAACCACACCTTAAATAGCCTGAACACAAAGTGCTTCACAGCTTCTAGCCAGCACACCAATAAATCACTCAAGTTTTACACCTCAGCATCATATTGGTGGTCAGAAAAGTTATACCTGTGCATTGATTTGATGTAACTAATTTTGAACCCTCCCTTTAACCCCCAGTATCAGTACAGGCTGGGGGAAGAAAGGATCGAGAGCAGCCCTGCCGAGAGGGACTTGGGGGTGCTGGTGGATGAAAGGCTGGACATGAGCCGGCAATGTGCGCTGGCAGCCCAGAAGGCCAACTGTACTCTGGGCTGCATCAGGAGAAGCGTGGCCAGCAGGTCGAGGGAGGGGATTCTGCCCCTCTGCTCTGCCCTGGTGAGACCTCACCTAGAGTACTGCGTCCAGCTCTGGAGCCCTCAGCACAAGAAGGACATGGAACTGTTGGAGTGGGTCCAGAGGAGGGCCACAAAAATGATCTGGGGGCTGGAGCACCTCTCCTATGAGGACAGGCTGAGGGAGTTGGGCTTGTTCAGCCTGGAGAAGAGAAGGCTGCAGGGAGACCTGATTGTGCCCTTTCAGTACCTAAAGGGGGCCTATAGGAAAGATGGGGAAAATCTTTTTAGTAGGGTCAGCTGTGACAGGACAAGGGGTAATGGTTTTAAACTGAAGCAGGGTAGGTTTAGACTAGATATAAGGAAGAAATTCTTTACAATGAGGGTGGTAAAACACTGGAACAGGTTGCCCAGAGAGGTAGTGGAGGCCCTATCCCTGGAAACATTCAAGGCCAGGGTGGACAGGGCTCTGAGCAACCTGATCTAGTTAGCGGTGTCCCTGCTCACTGCAGGGGTGTTGGACTAGATGACCTCTAGGGGTCCCTTCCAACCCAAAACATTCTATGATTCTATGATTCTTGCTCCTAGTCAAAAACTTATTTGAAAAATTCAAGCAGTTTGGGAACTTCAGCAAACAGTTAAAAATCTATTAATGCAAAGTTTAAGAATGATTTTAAATCTCTCTCATGTCCATTAAATAGAAGCCGCTGCACAACCTTGGCTGCAGAGAGCACACTGTCCTCTCTTCTTTCTCCATGCAGAATTATACGATTACAAGACAATTTCAGTCTACTTCACAGCATTTCAAAGAGCACAGCAGATTACTGTGATCCACTCTGCTCCCTTTTGGAGCAACATGGCTTAGTCAGGAGTTATTCCTGGACTGATGCAAATTAAATTCTTACCAAAGTCTACAGGCATGATCTAGCTGCATACATTTTAGAAGCATGGCAGATATACTTGCCATTTAAGAAAAACCCCACACTCTTGTTCTTTCTGACAAGATATGTCAGAAGCATTTAAATATCAGGAGAGAGGGAGGCAGAAAGGGAAAAATCCTTTGGTTCAAAAAGAATTAAGTTTTTGTAAAAACTAGATGGTAATTTTATTCTTCATCAAGGCTATTTTATCAGATTTTCTTTCCAGGAAGTGAGCCATACTTGTCGTATCTATCTTTTTGACCAGTCCCCTGCCTTTGGCATGGAAAGGCACTCCTGCAGTCTTCTTGAGCTGTTGTGCAGTTTCTGTTGCTAAAAAGAAAAAAGGCTTTAGTTATTACAGAATCTATGCTGAAAAAATACAATACACTGCTTCCTATATAAAATATTATTAACTACTACATTAAAGATGGGAATAGCAACAAAGAAAAGAATTATATCTTAATTAAAAAACAGGTCATTTATGTGAGGTAAGCACAGGATTTGGAGAAAATGCAAAATCAATATGACTATGCAACTGACAAGATGGTCTAAGCTAAAAGAAATTATCGGAGTAGACAATTTACTAGTTAGAGATTGAAATAATTAAAAGGAAGTTCTAGGTAACATCATTGTATTTAACCAGACCAACTACTCAAGTCACATGCAACAAAGCAGCAAGCTGCTGCAACAGAACAGCAGGTAAACTATTTTAAGATCACTTAGTTCAAACAGCTAACAATACGTATATGTACACATATATTGCCTTTTGTTAGAGAAAACCCTCTTGGTTTTCACACCCTGTATAAGCATACTGAGCAAAAGAAAGCATTAATTAGCAGCTCTTGCTCCCTGTTGCAAAAACATATGGCAAAATAAAACTAGGTTCTGATTCCAGTTTTCTTTCAGAAGCTTTAACCAAAGCTGTCCCTCACAAGTCTTCACAACTAACTGACTGTTAAATACACTCATGAGAGAATATATCTCTGCTTAAAAAAGCTACAGTTTTTCATATGCCTTGAAATCTGAACAGCATTTAAATAAAGATTAGCATTTTAATGTAATCATGGCCGGAATGACTTGCACCTGCTCTTCCACACATATCAGTCTATCAAAGAAAAAAAAAAAGTCAGCCAGCAAAGCTCTTATAACAGAAAATTTTAAGGTACATCCCCATACTGGAGAATAAGACTGAATATAAATTTTCCTCTAATTTGTTACTCAATTTATCAACTAGCTGTAATACTACTTACACTTCTGCAAGAGTTCAGCTCTGAGAGTGGCACTTTTAGGTTTCCTTTTCAGCTGGAAGTGTTTCACTGGGGGAGTAAGTGGCCCAGCTAGTGTTGTCAAGGCATTTTTGTTTAAGTATTGGCATTCCAACGGCAACATAGCTGAAGTTTCACATTCACTTACTGCATAAAGAGTTAACACAGTACACATGGGTATTAGCACCTCTTTGATAGCTAATTACAAAACATTTTACAACTGGACTGTATGGGTGTTTTAAAATTTTAGATTACTTGTTTAATCACCAAGTGTAATTTAGTTCTAATTATTGCACAGTATATAGGATGTTTTCTAAATTAGCTTCATAAGAGCTTCCATGTTAATTATTCCTAGTCCAACTTAAATATGCTACTATTGTCAAAGAAGATAAAAATGATTGAATTCCAAGATTCCTTAAAAATTACACATAAAAAGGAAACTAGCAAACAAAAGTCCAAACCAGAAGTGTGAACAGACAAACAATCATTTGTTTATAGCAAGAAAACAAAATGCTTCCACCTCCAAGTTGTTTCATTATTGGTCTGCTGCAATCCTAACTCCAAGACCACGTCTGCCCGTTGATGCCCAAAGGCTTTTTCTAGGCAACGAGCAGCTTTGCCTCACCATTTACTACATTGTTTGAAGCAGCAACTGTGCAAGTGCCTGAGCCAGTATTTTCAGCTGGAAGGCAATCTGTAACTAGTCGGACATCAGCAGCATAACTTCTTGGAATCAGTCACCCCCACAGCACCTATCATTTGTTGCGTAGAGGGGGGACTTCCAGCAGAGAGGCACCACACCTGCCCAGTACAACAGCGGTGCTTCCCCACACGTGAAGCTGTCTGCACAAGCGCTGCAGAAACAGAGCCTTACTGTCACCTTTGGTACTACAACATATGAGACAGAGCAATACATGAAAAACCTCAACTTACTATGCTGCAGTCAGTCAGTTATTACCCGTCAGTGCACAAACAGCCTGTCTATGACACTAATGAATCCACATTAACTTGCGTGTTGCCCTTCACACACACTCAGGGTAATACCTGACATGCAAGCTCTGACGATGTGTGAAAAGATAATTTAAGAAGTTACCATTCCTCAAATATCACAGTTCCCGGTCCAGTAACATGCCAGGTCATGAACTGTGGCAGTTAAGAGACAAGACATACTGCTTGTCCTGATACCAGTACTGTTAAGATAACCTGTCGTTTCACAGGCAAACTTGTTATTTCTGAAAAAGGCATCATATTTCCATAATTTTCACCAACAGAAAGGCTTACCTTTTTCTCTAAGCTCTCCTAAAATATCTTGAACATTGGGATTCTGTTCTTCAAGATCAAGGTTAAGGGAGCCAGTATCTGGAAAGGATTTTAAAATATCAGCTACCATTAAGACCCAGGGGTCTGAATCCAAGGTAGCGAGCTGGATAATTTCAGTCAGTGCCCCTTTCATCTAACAAAAAAAGAAAAAGAAAATCAGCCAATTGGAAACAGTTTTAAACAGGTTATAGTTGGATTTTTTTTACTTTAAAAAAGACACTAGTGTAAACATGCACAATGTTTTACTATGGGGGAAGGGAAGAGGGAAGACTGCTTCAACACAGTTGTTATACATTAACTCTAGAACTAAGTAAAGAATGAACCAGGATATTTTTTTTTATATTGCTTTGGTTTGAGCTTTTGGTAGCTCAAAGCTTTATTTGGCACTGAACATTTTTACTACAAACAAGAGGTCAGATCCTTAAGTTACTGTCAGCTTACGTTCCACACTTATACTCCCAGGGTACCCACATCTTATATTCAGCGATAAGAACATGCAACTGGAATTTGTTAAGTTATTTAGAACAGGCATCTAAATGAAGATGTGCCTCTTTCTGGGCTACATAATAATACAGCAGACAGACTATATCTGCATTATATGAACATAAACTAAGCCCTGAAAAATTTTACTTAAGTTTAGGCAAAAGTAATGTGCTTCATGCTAATCAAAACTGTATTGTTTGACGAAAACGACATAATACAGAAGTAGACCCAGCCCTCTAATATGCCACAGGTAACAAGATTTTCCATCTACCCAAAGTTTCTACAGTCAGAAAAAAGTTATTTTTGTCTAAGCACCTATCTTGAAAAAGGGAAAATAATGCATAAGATTAATAAAAAAACTTCATTGTCACAGTAATTTTTTTTAATTACTGATCAACATGTTTACTGGCCCTATGAAATGAAATAAAAATCAGGGTGACTACAGTCAGGGGTTTACACAGTGAATCTCTTAAATTAGTTGTTTTACTTCAGACACGGCTAAGTTTAAACCCCACATATAAAGACTGAACACTTGTTGCTTTTTTTCCTTAAGTAAACTCTCATGTAAGCATTAAAAGCATTAGCTTCACAGAACTAAGGTGTTTGGCATGTACTGTGCATCTATCTAAGCCACAATACATAACAGTAAAATTAAGTGTTTAGACATACTCTTATCTGTACGGTATTAACACTGAAGAATTTACAAGCAAGTATAAGGACATACTTGAATTCTGATTTTTTACAACCCATTGTGGCGCATACAGCTTAGTCACAGTCTACATGTTTCTGAACACAGGGAGACAAGCAAAAGATGCATCTTCACCTTTATGCTTTATTTCTTCCCCCTTTTTTTTAGAACCAGCTTTTTCTTACATGAAAAAGTTCAATAAAAATAAGCTTACTCTACTCAGTACTTACTACTCAACTTACTGCAACTAAGAAATAAAAGTTAAATTTCTGCTCTCCATTTTTCCTCCCAAGCACTTTTAAAGCTCAGAGGCAGACAAACATTGACATGTCTCAATTCCTTTCACCCACACAACGTTCTTGCCCTCTCACTTTAGGAAGTTTTACAAGTGCATGATAGGCACAGTTTGCCCTTTACCCCTTGTGTATTTTAATGCTCATAGTAATGTGCTTGTGAAACGAACCAGATCAGTTCATCTGAGCAAAACCTAGCACCTCATTGTAGCTCTAAGCTTGATCAGTCCCTTGGTGTGGCCAACTACAGTCATAAAAACACTAGAACCACAAAAAGAGCAGAGCAGAAAGGAGACACTACAACAGTCAGTTACCATTTTCATCAGCACAACTGACTTGCTTTGGATTAAACTGACCCCATAAACATGACCACACACATGTCAAATATAACCAACACTTACCCAATGGAGACAATCAATTTCTAAGGTTCTAGTCTTTGTTGTCCTTCATTGCTCATTTCTTTCTCCTTAAACATGAAAAACTCACCTAGACTCCACACAGACTTGTCAATCTCTCTGTTCTAACCCAAAACCACTCATCAGAAGTCACTTCTACTGCAGTGGATGAGTATGAATACTATCAAAACAAATTCCTTCATTCTCCTATCTATCCTATAGGAATTACAGTACTGATTTACACAAAACACCTGAAAATCTAAAAAATGCCACAAGAGCTGATGAAGCTATGGCTTATTTATCGCTCTTTTACAAGCCTTTATCAGGCCACCACTAATGCGTGGTGTATCAGGCAATAGTTGGAGGAAAGATGTCGCCTGTATCCTCCCAATTTACCCTTCATATCTGTTCCACAAAACTCCTCTTTGTACCAAAAATTCACAGAGCTACATGCCTATACTATGTGCGCTCCTATGGAGCTCCTGTCTGGGCATGTCACATCCACACCACTCTCAGGGCAGCTAAAGTTCAGGCAACCTACTTATGCCACAACCCACCACTTCACATAACTTGGGTTCCTTCAAGAAATGAGCCCAGAAACAACTTGCTTGCCTAGCACTGTGCAAATAACATTATCACAAGGCCTCATGGCAGAAAGAACACTGTGAAAAAACAGCCACCGACACACACACAGGGAAAGCGAAGCACACCAACACGTCCTGTGAGCTAATGAGAGACCTTGTCTGAATATGGGTTTGCATTTAACAAGCCTGGATTTGAGTTTTGACTCAGGTTTGCCTTCAAATGGCAACTTAAATATATGTTCCCAGCTCGCTGTTGAACTGGCAGCTGAAAAAAGTTTCATTTGTGGTTTAAGAATGCATGAAATGCAACTCAAAATAACAGAGAATCCTACATATAGTTTTTCAGTTACTTTACGGAGCACAGCCATAATCCCAAGCTTCTGATTTGTATAAATTGCAACACTGGGTCAGTAAGTGTCCCATCAGCTTCAACCGGCATCTTGTTAAGCATGAATATCAAGATCTGATGCAACATGTTCTGGCATTTCTGTCATCTAAAACTTAAGGATCTTAAGTATTTTTCTCAGCCTGCTGGCACACACCAAAAAAAAAAAAAAGCATAGGGCTTGACTAGAAACATCTAACAAGAAAGGATCAGGCAGGATGGAAAAAGTCTGGGAAAAGAGACAAAGGGAGATTAATAATGGCTCGGCAGGAAGAATACACAAACAGCACCGTGGGAAGGCGTAAAAAAGGAAATGTTACTAGAAACACACAAAGTGATAGCTCCAGGATGATTTGCAAAGAATTCCCATTCATTTGCTTTATATTATGCCTAGATTAATATATGTGACTATACCTTTAGACAATTGCATCAACAGTTTGCTAATAAACCCAATCAAGTTTTAATCTTTCAGGGGCCATAGAGAAGGTGATATTTAATAGGTACCTCTATTATTATAGAGCATTTTCATTAAGCTAAAAGCATTGGCTGGGAAGTAAAGTATTATCGTTTAAATGATACAAAACTAGGATGGATCAAATATCACTGTTGTGTATGTTTTGTATTCCAACCATGTAGAAAAAAGTAGAAGTGGCCAAGAGTACCATTAGATTAAAATATACCACATTACATCACAGAAAAATTAAGAACACTAAATGCAGGCCAGAAAGATGCACAGCAGCCTGCCTGTTCTGAACACAGAGGGAAAGGAAAGTGTCATATGCACTAGTACCCCACCGTTCCCACTGCATGAACAGAGGGCTCCCAATTCACCTAAGCAAGCAAGAAGAGTCTTGACTTTTGCTCTTGCAGCTACTGTAGTAAAAGGGCAGGCCACTGCCAGGATAGGCAGCATCTTCCTCTCAAGGTAATGCAGAGTGCACATAAGCACACGGTCCTCATTCCTGACTTAGCTGTAACATCACAGTCTAACCCTGAACAATTAAATGAAAATGCTGGCACAAAAAGAAAACTTGCGCTTGTCACTGTGAATCGGGTTTACAAGAATATAATATACAAAATAAACAGAAGTAACTGTTCTGCCAAATTCACAACTGAAACGCTGGTCAGCACTACACTGAGCTTTAGGCATCATTTCAAATAGGCATGATTACGTGGAAAAAAATTAGCAGATGAAAAGCTGGGGGGCAGGGAGATTCAAGAGTTAGCAAGTTCTGCCCAGCAAATTACAGCGGGAAATGGTATTTCTGATAACTGCCTATAAAACACACTTAACTTAAAATGAAAATTGGAGCCAAAATTTAGGTTTATTACCTATCCCACATGAGTATTACGAGGATTAAGTCACTTGTATCTATACAATATTTGAAGTGTTGAATGAAAACATTATGAAAATTGAAGGATATTATATTTGAGGAAAAACATAAACACTTAAGCACTAAGCTTTCAAGAGAGCTCATTGAAGACTCCCTTGTCTACTGAGGCTTTCACAGAGATTCAGAAAGGGCCAGCAGCCAATTAACCCCCTTCTAAACCAAATACCGCCACACTTTTCTTGATTCCCATGTAACTTTACTCAGATGTCTGCTCCCAAATGGTTTCCATATTATCCTATGCCTCAGTGGAAATGCTATTATAGCAAAAACAAAAAAAATTATTTTGAAAAGAAAATAACCAAGTTCAATCTGTTACCTAGAGAGGGGAATATCTTTTAATGTGTTACATAACAAAACAGTTAACATACTCTGCATCCACTATCAAGATTCCCAAAACTTTACAAAGCTGGTACAATATATTTTCCAATACTATTAAGTTTCCAAATGCCAGCTCAGTCTTTCTCACACATGATCGATATAGACTGGCACATGGTGTGGAAAACAACACACATGACTTTCCAAAGAGGCTAATGAAGTACTTTCACAGTTAAGTTTAATCATTTTCAGATATGGGAGTGATTTCCAAATGATGAATTTCACTTCCAGAAAGCTACAAGTATCCTATACTGGTGTATATTCTGCTCCACAATACACTGGGCAGAGAATACTGTAGAGGAGTACACACCACAGCACACATATACCGAACACAAACACATACGTACAGGGTATCATAGGTAAGATACCCAATGCTATTTAAAATATCCCAAATCTCGACAGTAAGTGACCTAACAAATCTTCACAAATACAACCTATTTTAGCATACTCACCACAAATGATCAGTACCTGACAAGACAACATCCCTTTCAGTCAGCAGTTTGGCTACAACAGCTATTTTTACCATTTATAGAAAGAAGTCTATAATGATAATTGCAGACATACTAACAATGTTAAGGGTTTCTGCCTCATGATTTTTTCATTTTTAAAAACTTTTTTAAGCCTTTTCTCTCAGTTAAAAAAAAGTTGCATGCCCATGAAATAATTAAAATATTATAGGTACTTTTCAAAGGACTGAAAACATGCTAAATCCCTAGATCTTGACCAAGTGTGCTCTGTTTACAGTGAAAGATTAAATTTATGATTGAATTCACAAACTCTACCAAAGAAGTGAAAAAAAATCACACTATTTTTTGTTACAGCAGTAACACGAGCTTTATATTTGGAACACAACTGGTAATTTTAACAATACACTAAAAGGCACAGCATCCGAGCTGGTCTTCTTTAGATACACTTTATCGCCATGACTAACAAAAGCACAGATCAAGTAAAGTTGCTGGCTACCATCTTCCTCAGAATCAGTTTAAGAAGTTCTTTTACCCATCCAGTGAACACTCTTGCAGCATTTCAACAAATAATTTCAGTTTGCTTGAATACTGCTCCCTCAGAGAATTAGCATGAGTGTTATTTATGAAGGTCCCTAAGCTTTTTAAAGCTCTTTTCAATCTAAAAACATCACTAATTTGTTAGCTTTTTCTAAACATTGCAATACTAATTTCTTCCAAGCTACTGGGATTTTCACACTACTTCAGAAGAATTTTGCATACTCAGTGTTCATGTGAGCTTAAGCATAGCTCCCCATCCCCCTTTCTGGCCTTGGTTATTTTGTTTGTCCAAAACACAACTGCATTTGTCACGCACAAGGCAGACAGCTTGCACACTGGACAGTATGAATATCATGTTTTAAAAATTAAAAGTAAACATGCTGAACAAGATTTTTTTTTTTTTTTTTTTAAAGTTGCACGTAACACAGTGATCAATCATGCAGATGCATGTGGCAGGACAGATGCCAACATACACTAAACTATTGCTTAAATGTCATGCTTGCGCATTTTCAGCTTAGAAGTACACAGAAGCTGAGCATATAATAATCCAAGTTACATATCATCTCCCCACACCCTACCTAGCCTATTAAGCCTAAGCAGCAGCTGTGTCCTAGCCAAGAGAGAGACTAGTGCAAGCACAGCTGAGGATACTCTACACGAGAAGGTGAGGATTAACTATGCACCACCTCCATGCCTGTTACCAGGAACCAATACCATACACAGCGGGAGTAGGGGAGGAATTCCTCAAACCTGGCTAAAGAAACTTAAATGTTTCCCAACCATTCTCCAACTATCGCCCCAAATATCGGTAGCTGCCTACTGGCAAGAATAAGCCAGCTGCAAATGAGCTATGGTCCAGGGCCAAATGAATAAGCTTTTCTGGATCTATAATGATTGCTTGCAGAGCCAGCCAGCTTATTAGCTGTGGTAGGACAGTAAAGGAGAGCACCAGCTGTTCCCAGAAAGGTAAAAAGAAGCCAAAAAAGCATGACAATAATCCTCAAGCAAGACCTGACTGCCAGAAGGTGGGGAAAAGCACTGTTCATTGCAGACCCCAGATCTTCCATTCCCAAAGTTTCAGCACTTGCTGCTGTCCTTCCTAAAGCTGAGATGTTCCACTTGGGACACCTACACAGCTGCCAGTATTAAGGAATAAGAGCAAAGCAAGCCTAACACACATGACTGTTCCTAAACGATTATGCCCCTCTGTCCTAATCCTAGAACGACTACTGCTTCAGAAAACCCTCATTCCCCAAAGGCACCTAAACTGTACCAAAACACAGCCCTACAACTATAAGTCCGTGTGGAGGCATAAAATAGGTTACAGGTTGAAACTGCTTTCTAAAGACTAGTGCCAACCAGAGATTCCCCGAAGAGCGGGAGGAGGAGGAGGAGCAGCAGCAAAGCTTCCACTCCACTCGCTCCCTTATCACGGGGAACCTGAGCGCTTTCCCTCACACCGAGTCCTCCGAGCTGGGCCTCAAGGGACCGCTCTGCCAGACCTTCCTCCCCATCCCCGTCCAAGAAAGGCTGCAAGGAAGAAGCGGGGATGTCTGTGGGCACCAGCCCCGCTGCACGCCCAGCG